TGTCCCTGTTTCTCGGACCCTGCAGCCCCCGCTGTCTGTGTGGGGCTGGTAGGGAAGGGCTCTTGGCTCTGCCATACCTTGATATATGTGTCTGGTGCGGTTTGGGGGTGGCTTTCAAGCAGGTTGTGACAGAGCCTCAGTCCTGAAAAGGTGAACCGGAGCCCCAGGACCAGTCCGTGCCTGTCTATCCTGGTGATGGAGCACACAACAGAGAAACAAAAGGTCAAACTCTGTTGCCCTGGGAGATGTTTTTATGAAGCAGCCTCCGATCCTGCCTGGGCTCAGATGGAGTGGCCCTGGCGCTTGTCATACCAAGTTATTTTTACGCGTTTGGGCAGATCAAAGGACCAAACCAACCCCAGAGATCCTGTGAACTTCAGGGATGCACTGATCCAAGGTCAGAGGTGCCCTAAGCACACAAAGCAAGGAGATGCCAGCCCCTGGACAGCTTAGAAGCAGAGCCCAAACCCACAGCTCCCTGAAATCCATTGAACCCCTGCTCCCACTCACATGGTCCTTTGGAAGGGCCAGGTGCACATATCCCCATCCAAACATMTCAAAATGGGTGAAAATTCTGACCTGAGCTTCACCAACTTTGGCCCCTCGGAGTAATGAAGAGACACAAACTCCATCAAGCACAGGACAATCTTGGCCAGATTCTATATGGATGCTTTAAGCTCATTCCTGACAAGGTCTGACTGAGCATTCTGGAAACTGGATGTTATGAGTGCTGGAGGACCAACTCTGGCCAGTACTTTGCAGGCTGGACCTAGCTCGTTCTGCTTTCACTCCTTACACTCTTTGCTTGAACCAAACCAATAAATGATACAATCACAGAATGCTTAAGGTTGGAAGGGACCTCAGAGGTCATCTAGTCCAACCCCCTGCACACGCAGGGTCACCTAGAGCACGTGGCACAGGGCTGCAGCCAAGCGGGTTTTGAAGATCTCCAGAGAAGGAGACTCCACAACCTCTCTGGGCAGCCTGTGCCAGGGCTCTGGCAGCCTGACTGTCAAGAAGTGTTTTCTCAAGTTCCTGTGGAACTTTTGGTGCCTCAGCTTGTGGCCGTTTCCTCTAGTCCTGTCGCTGGCCACCACTGAAAA